GGTCATAACTACATAAAATTGTATGGAATTTAAATAACGCTCTCGCATCTATGACTTTCAAGATCTTATTTTTTTTATAGAATTTATTGCACACGCGTGCTAGCAATTTAAATTCCATACTGTACATTCCAGTACAGTAAAACTTGATACATGACCAATAAAGTTCTAAATTTATACGTATTTCAGGAGTCATCAAAATTAAATTTTATTATATTCTTGACACAAATTTATAGAAATAGATCCAATAAATATGAAAGGATTCTTATTTCAAAAATAGTGACGTTTACAAGTATCAAATTATACTAGAACAACCACAAAATTTATATGCTTTCAACAGTAAAAAAATAAATGTCCTTATTTTATCATCAATATCTTACTTTTATAAGATATGGTTAGAATTGACCATAGTTTTGAAATGATAACAAATTAAACCAAAGAAAACGTACCATGGTTAATTAAATCAGGAATCTGTTATTTTTGCATGAAGAAAAGAACAAAAGGCTGGATTCAGAAAACTTGACTAATTTTGTCGTCTAATGTTACCAATTGAGTATTTTTATATTTTCAATAATTTAGTCTACATAGATCTGCAATATTTTTTTATTCTGAAAAAGAAGGGAGTTTTGAAACATTTTAAAGATCCTGTAACACAATTTTTTATGGTTTTATATCATAAATATGATGCTCAAATTAAGAGTTATCAATATTGTAAGTTCCAAAAAGCATTATTTATAAAGATATTACCGAATTTAACATTTCCTGCACAAATAAAGGGAGGTCATTAGAAATTTATTTTCTATAAAGTCTTTGTCAATTTTTTCATTTAGAAATAAATGCATATATCTAAATGATTACATATAATGTGCACAAATATTTGCAGTACATATTTTACATATTCTCCGATGTTTGAAAATTGTTTTATTAGCATAATTATAAACAATCATATATAAAATTTCAGTTAAGTGTGGTAACAACCTCAATTATAACATACAGGATCTTTAAGTAGTAAAGCTAGCATACCCTATTTTCACTCATTTCACTTTTTAAAAGTATTTAAACAAAACTGCAAATATTTCTTAATAAAGGATTTTTCAAGAAAACATAATGAAAAAAATAGAAAACAAAAAAACATGTTCTGATCCCACAAAGAGAAGGAAAAAAGCAAAACTTGAAGAAATAATAACTTTGCCCCTAGTGGGACTTAAACCCTTACCCTCTGAAAACTCTGTTTGCTTACTAAAATGAATGCTTCTCAGAAATGAGGTTCTACATAAGGCCTCTTATACATTAAAACTGATCTGCTATCTAGATCTTAAGTACTTTACAGTAACCAGAACACAACATGATGAAAATAATTAATCTAAAGTGGTCAAAACTATGAACACTTAAAATGTCTTTGACAGACACGAATGTCTCCGCTATATATTGACCGGGGAAGGCTTTCTAACTGTTGACTGTTTTTGACCTATTAGTGTGACATTGACCTTAAGGCTAGTGGTTTTGGTCATGCGTTTGACACACTATCTAATCATGCTACACATTTGTGCAATATGTGCTGACCTCTGAGTTGACCTTGGAGCTAGGGGTCTAGGTATATTGGCCATGTCACACTTTTTTGTGCCAAGTTATTTGCATGACAGATTTACAAGCCGGACAAGATTTTCTAATTGCTGAAGTTTGACGTCTCAGCGTGACATTGAGCTTGAATTTAGGGGTCTATGTTCTGCGCATGGCGCAACATCTCATAATTTTGAACATTTGTACCAATAGTTTTAAAATTCCATTATGGGCCGGATAAGAATTTCTTCTGTCCTTTGACCTCTCCTTGGCTTAGAGATTGTGCATGACACATCGTTTCGCCATATTTAACATAAGTGTCATATTGTTTCAAAATCTCTAAATGCATGAAAAGGTTATGGACTGGACAAGGTTTTCGAATACACACACACACGCACGGACAGAGGTAACCTTTGTAATACACACTACATACCCCTTGCCACTACATGTATCATTGCAGAGGCATAAAAACATGACCAATAAACTATAATTATAAAATACAAAATTGTATGCCCTGTACACAATTATTTGCGGTACAAAAATATTTACGCCGGAGTTGTGACCTTTTTAAAATAAGCAGACATTAGCCGCTGTCTGTGGCTAGTTTTCGGCGTAAAGCACAAGGGATACTGTTTTGCGTAACATATCCTACGACGCATAAGTAATACTGCGCAATTCCATTATTGAAAGCATTGTGTTTATATAGAGGATATTTGTTTAATTCAGTGTAAGATCGGAATATATTTCACAGAGTGAGCACCAAATGGTATATTTGCCACGAATGAAATATTAACTTTTGATGTTTCTATCTTACACTAAACTAAACAATTTTCTTTTTTATTACATTTTTGTATATGTAAAGAAACGTTTAAAAAGACATTTTAACCTGATGCTAAATGAAAAGTGCACCAAATAATAATGCAACGTGACGTCATTTACGACTCAACGTGCAATGTACCAAATCAGCCACCATAACTTATAGTTAGTTACTCATGGCATACTAAAATCAATGATCTTAGCTCATTAATCATTCATTAATACAACTTTAGCACCCGAATATAGCCCATCCTCACTAACATCTATCTCAATGAATATTACTTGTGTCAATGTGTATTAAACTTGATTTATTACTAACAAAAATGTTTTTGATTCTTTTTTTTAATTTTATATCCTGGATGGGGGGGGGGCGGGGTACTTAAGTCTGTTTTATATGCTCCCCGAAAAATTTCGGGGGAGCATATACTCGCCGGGTTTACCGTCAGTCCGTACGTACGTCCCGAATTCGTGTCCGGCCCATAACTTCGTTATTTGAAGTCGGATATTACAACTATTTCACAGAAATGATCACCATATTGAGACAACGTGTCGCGCGCAACATTTGGGTCGCTACCTTGAAAGTTAAGGTCACAGCATGACCTTGCAGCAAAATCTTGTGCCGCCAATAGCTTCGTTATTTGAAGTCGGATTTTACAACTATTTCACAGATATGATCACCACATTGAGACGACTTGTCGCGCGCAACATTTGGGTCACTACATTGAAAGTCAAGGTCACAGCATGACCTTGTTTTTAAAGAATGAACATAACTACTAATATCTACCATGTTAGGACCACCTTCTTTGTCTTTTTTAATGATTACAGATTGTTTTATTTTTGCCTTACCTTCCCATATAAAATCATAAAATGTTTTCAAAAAAGCAGTATTATGTGTAGGTAGGCTTGTTAAACAATGAGTAAAAAAAGGAAGCGATATTGACTTAACAACAATGTTTTTTCCTAGTGGACGTAATACCCTTTTTTCCAATAACTGATTTGAAGCAGTTTTGAACTTTGTACGGGAAATAAATCTGAAACCATTCGAGGTATCAACATGAAACTTTGTAGGTAGATTGATCTCATTAAATAGAAGTGCAGTGCAAAAAATCTTAAACCTGCCTTTGCGTTCATTGAACGCCGCCTTTCCTTGTTGATCTTGTTTATAATATTTTTTGCCTAATTTTGGAGTTATGGCCCTTTGTTCATTTTCGAAACTTTGAACTTTGTCTGTGACATAACTCTGACACTACAATATGTATACTTTCCTGTGTCCAAAACCTATTCGGGGAGCATCACCCGGCTCAACCAGTTCTACTTTTTCCCCAGTTTTGTTAGAGTTATTGCCCTTGACTTAGTATAAATTTGCAATTTTCAACTTGTTCATGCATGGCTAAAAATATTTGACCTGTATGTCTGAAAATGTACAAGAATGTTGGTCAGCCATATACTTATGCGCCTTGGGGTTTGCTTGTGGATTTAAGTTCTTGTCCTTGATTTAGTAAAAGATTTTTAGTTTTCAACGTGTGGCACATGTTGACCTAGAGTTATAAGATTGACAAAAACAGTGGAGTGTGTGGGCACTCGTGTGCTATGGACACATTTCTAGTTTGGAAAAAAAGTTTATTGATAGTAATTTCCCCTAACCGGCGAGCACTTACATGCGGTTATCTAATTCTAATTTGCATTTGTTTAACACAACGGCTCTGTAAAGATCATTTTCTAAACGAAGACCTGGGGTACATTATTTCAGGCACATCCGGGAGAAATTATAGAACCACTAGCCTTATGTAAAGTAGGCTGATCCTATACTCACATGGAGAAGGGGCAAATGATAACATATGTTATGAGCAATAAGAAAAGAATTTAATAAGGTATACAAAACAACTAACCATAAAGGCACATTATGCTTCAAAACAAAGAAATCTTTACTTCTTTAACAAGGTCAAATATGAATTTTATGATGTTTATATAATGGTTTTAGAGAATTTTAGATTCTTGTTACCTGAAAAAAATTGCCATAAAGTAGTAAAATGTAAACAAGAAAACAAAGTAGTATTTTGACTTTCATACAAAATACACATTAACTCTAAATGTACTTAATGCCAAAAAAGCAACAGATGAAAAAGATGGTTTAAGTAATTAGCCAATGAGTAACATTTTGGATACTATAAAAGTACACCAAAATTAAAAAGCTTTTTAGAAATAAAAATAAAGAATATCTGAGGCATAATGGGCCTTTAAAACACAAAGACAACGAAGTTGCCTGTCAACAACTTTGCCTAAATAATAACTCAACAAGCAAATTTTGGTATACAACAAGAAAATACAAAACAAATAATTCATGAATAACTACATAACTAAGTTTAGAAAACAAAAATTAAACAGATATAACTGATTTTTCTTTACAAACGGAAAGCGATTAACATTTGACACCAGTATATAGCCAAGTCAGCCTGCACAACCGTGAAGCCTGAACAAGCTCAACTCTTAAACTGTTGGTTGCTCATTCTTTATGCTTTTATCTATAAATGATCGGCTCCAAATTAAAACTTTGGCAAATCCATTACCTTATTTCAGCAGGTATTCAGTCTTATTCATCAAATACATTTAGGTGCGCTATTTATTTATGACATAAACGTTTTGCACATGGTTGTTACGAAAAAAACATATGGTTCTTTTGGCAAATACACATGGTTTTTACGCCAAATACTAGTACCACACGGTTTTTAGTGCAAATACACATGTTTCTTACGACAAATACGCATGGATTTTACGGCAAATACACAGGCTTGTTACTTCAAGTTTTCAAGTGATATCAACATTGTTTGTTTTATAGCAAATAATCAAATAAATATGTGTACGCCACAAAAAAAATCATAACATTTAATTATGCAATTATATCCTAATTCGGATTTATGTGGTCAAGGTCAATTGTCTCATTCTTGAAGAACGTTTCATTTTTTTGAAACTTTGTATATCCAGTTAGCAACAAGAAGTGAGATAATTGTGAACTTATTGCATATTCAGAGTGTTGTTTAATACAAATTCAAGCAAATCCAGATTGTTGTTACTCTAAATCGAGCAAACCCAGAATGTTGATACTGGTACCCCAATACAACAAAATTCAAGCAAATCCAGAATGTTGCTACCCCAAATTCAAGCAAATCCAGAATGTTGCTATCCCAAATTCAAGCAAATCCAGATGATTGTTGTTACCCAAATTCAAGCAAACCCAGATCGTTTTTTTCCACAAATTCACTTATGTATATACGGTAATTGGTAGAAATTCACATTATATACATAATCACATATATAAATGTGTGTTACCGCAAGTTTACATGTATTTCATCAACCATCATGAATGGATCAAATTAAAAGACACAAAAGAGAATAATTTTTCTAGGTTAGTAATCTCTCTTTTATCAAATACAACATAAAGTTGTTTATTATTTTCCGAATACATAATGTCAACTATAGATTTGTATTTTGAATCTTTCTTCAGAGACAAGCATTCTTTGACCAGGTTACCTCGTTCTGATATTTGTACTATTTTTAGATATCCGGCGACATAGATATTTCCATTGACGTCGCATGTGACGGAATTAATCATCCCTTCGATTTGTTTTGTTAAGTCAACTTCTTTGATTATATTTCCGTCAGTATCAACTTCAATGACACGATCTATCTCGTAGTTTGATTCGCAAATGACTAAAGTGTTGTTAAAAGTACCTGTCATACACACTGGTGACTGTAAGGCAAGTTTTCCTTCGCTCGACTTTTTCAAAAAACATTTATGCGTTTCTGCTCCTTCCGGTGAGTAGAACGTAATAGATAGTGTGCGTACACGTCCAAAATTAGTACTGTCTTTAAGAAGAAGCAATGCAATCCCATTATTGAATTCGGTTAAAAGTACTTTTCTACAAATTGTTTCATCAACCGCCACATATTTGATTGATTTCGTTGTGTCTTTGTGCAGCTCATAAGTTACTTTTTGACAGGAAATCATTTTAAAGATATTTTTCAGCCTTGCCTGTAAGGGAATATAAAGAGGAACAAAATGCAATATATTTTCCTCATGAATAATTAGTGAAAATCCGGATGTCGAGCGAGGTGCAAGACAAATTTTTAACGGATAATACACCAAACCAAGTTTTGATCGAAGAAAGTAGTCCGGCTTTAAATCGTCCATTCGTTTGAGGCACAATGTCTCCAAAAATCCATTATCATAATTTCTGTTATAAAAACATAAAACTTCTGCTCTTCTTATATTTGTGAAAGACACAAGTTTGATATGGGGGACTACTTGTTGTGTTATAAAATTATGTAGTATTTTTACAACAAAATCTTCATGTCTGTCTTCTTCTAATTGTACTGTTAATGTTTTCATCTCATCTGATCCGCTGTCCGTGCTAGCGCTTTCGCTGGCGAATTCTTGATGATCCTTACACGCGCTTATTTTCTCATAAATATATTCACAATGCAAACAAACATACAATCTGCATTTTCTGCAATACTGTGACAATTTGTTCATCGGAAAGTTGCAAATACTACACATCTGTGCTGACTTGATGCCATCGTCAAAGTCTGAAAGTAATAATGAAAATACCTGTATTAAATTCTAAATTTGCAAGACATGTAGTAAGGGCATTAACCCCCCCCCCCCCCCAAAAAAAAAAAGAAGAAATAAAAAGAGTCAATCATCGACAATGTTCTATTTGAACTTGAGTGTAGCCAATCAAACTTTCTGCCTTTACAAACTTCACGTGACCATAGAAAACGGCACGTGACTGCAAAATTGGCGGCTACTATACGCAAAAGAAAACTATTTAAACATGTGTTTTTGTGACAAACAAACTTTTTATTTCATTTATGTCAGAAAGAAAGTGAATAATACCAGTCCATAAACTGAATAAAATTTCAGACAAAAGTTTTGGTTATTCAACTTTCTACTTCACACCGTATTACCGGCGCCAGTGATGGCAGATACCTGAAATTTACCGCTTGGTACAGGTAGGTTATAAATTTGGTTGGTATTATTATATTACACAAATACGTCCCATTCATAGCTATGAAACTAGTGTCCATTAACTGGAGATACCGGTACTATTAGGTAATTTTGGACTCGTTTTTCCTGTTTTTAGACTATTTTGAGCAGGTTAAAGGTGACAGCTTCGGAAAAATCCGTGAAAATGTCTTGTTTTTTGTTCAAAATATCTCAAGTTTTAACTTAATGGCAGGATTTCGTGTTATTAATATAGACGCTTATCCATTGGGGTCACGCAAGCCAAATATCTACGCCGTGAGTCTTTTCTTAAAAGTTTTACAGACGTTCAATCTGGTCCGGTCGAAGAAAAAATGCTGCCAGATACTTATTTTAAATGCTGCCGTCGATGGCAGAAATACCATGAAAGTGGCTAATATTCTGACAGAAAATCAAGGTCAATCTTTTATCAATTTCTCTATTCTTTGCGTCCTTTTAGTGGGAATTTTATTTTATTTTATTTTCGAAGAAATATTCAAATTATTTTACATTACTGTAGAGCTATTATATTATTGTAGCCCTAGATAATTATATAATTATGTCTTGTGTAAGTTGTGTTCTTTCGTCGTTCCAGGCATGTTCATGTAGAGCTTTGAACATTGTACAATAAAAAAATACAAAACATAGATATAACAAGCTTCAAAGCAAAAAATGCAAAGATAATTAAAATAAATAATATTTCCATACCGCACAGAAACAGAAAACATTTCCAGATGTCAATTAAAACCGTCCGTGCTGATTTTACCAATCTTGTTATGACTTGAAAAAGCCATCCCGTGAAGTCAATCCATAAAATAAAAAAAGTTAACAATATAACAATTGCTAAAACTATCAATACTAATCCAAACGCTATCATACAAAAATTCTTCATAAAATTATCAAATTCATGCACTATATTTGCGTTTTTTTCACTCATGATTAAACTATTTTACATGTAGAACTATGTAACATTATTGTAAGCGCGTGTAATGTCTATAAATAGATTGGCATATTAATTGTTACTATATTGCAGTTGATAAGAAATTTACACAAACTATGGTAGATCCATAGGAACTCGAGAACGGGACAGATTGCGGCGCATATTTTCGATCGTGTAACGTTTTTTTGAAACGTTTGTCACGGTTCAGAACTGTTCACTATTTAGGGGAGAAGATGTGTAAGCGGCCGGATAGCTCAGTCGGTAGAGCCGCGGTACGGTATTCCGAGGGTCCCGGGTTCGAGTCCCGGTCAGGCTGCACATTTTTCTCACCCTGTGACATTTGGCGATAAGGGTCTTTAAAGGGTGTGGGATCAGACAGATTGATTTCATGTTCGACCAAGTCAGCAGAACCAAGATCAGTAGGACCAGAGGAGAAAATATGTTTCCACTGATTGAAGAAGGAAGTTGCCTTAACCTGCTGTTCAGAAGTTAAAGTTTCAGTGGGAATAGAAATACCAAGGTCATCAAGAGACTTGTCTGAATTGTGGGATTTATCAGCAACACCCTCTGAAGGATCAATGGTGCGAACAACAGACACATCATGTAAGTTACAAAGAGTCATTCTTGGATGAATGGTAATAGCTCTAGCAGTCAAGTTACAAACACGTACTGGAACCCTGCAAAAAGAAGTACCAGGTTGTAATTTAACCAATCTAGGGCACACATTCAACATAAGAGAATCAGTAGACTCTGTAACACCAGATGACATGTTGCCAATATGTCTCACCTTTCCCTCAAGTGTTGTTGTTTCAAAAGGCTTCACAATGACAGTCTGATGATGAAGAAGAGTAACAGGTTTGGTGACAATGTCAGACAAGGAAGATATGATGTCTGAAAGTGGAGATGATGTTGACTCTGTTCCTGATGACTTCAAAACATTCAGTATGTTGGTGCCTATTATCAAAGGAACTCTGCTGGAGTACTCTGTGTCTGGAACAATCAGAATAGGAGCTGAAAAAGATTGTGATGAAAGAGAAGGAAAAGAAATATCAAGAACTGAATATCCAAGATATGGTACCTTAGAACCATTAGCAGAAGAAATATCCAACATAAAATCTGACAACTGTGACATGACAGGCTGGGGCTTTAAAGATTTGAAGAATGAAATTCCAATAGATGAAATCATAGAACCAGTATCTATCAAAGCTATAGTAGAAGTACCATTTATAAGAATTTCAGATTCATTAGAAGAGCCAACTAGAGGAAATGTAGAAGCAGGGTCATTAGAAGGGGAAGTATGACCTCTCATCTGCCCTGCGATGGAGGTCGACTGTAGTTTAAAGGACTGGCAGAGGCTTTGACATCCTGAGTGGAAGATCTCTCTTGTTTCAAGCCCTTGAGTTCCTTCTCCATACTAGACAGCCTGGACTCCATGCCTTCCATCTGCTTAGAAAGGGCCCTTATTTCCTGGAGAAGTCTACTATCTACAGTAGTGACACACTGCTGTGCAGGAACAGACTCATTAGGAGTAGAAGGTAAAGAAACATTGGCCTGAGGGGCTGCCTGCTTGGGTGGAAGAGGGAGAGAAGTGGCTAACCGAGACAAGCGTAAGTCTTCCTCAATGGCTCTCAACTCTTTACGAAGAGTATTGAAGTTGAGGTCCTTCTGAAAAAGAAATCTAGAGGCATTCTTAAGCTCTATATCACGAAGGCCTGACCACAACCTACCCCGCAGCATCTCATCCTTGGACAACCTATCAAGATTGCATGGTATCCTGCTAAGCAACCTCTCCAGACGCAAACTATAGTCAGCAACAGACTCATCCACCTTCTGCTGTTCATTATAAAACTGTTCCTTCAACCTTTCAGTTGAATGAACATTACCATAAATGCCATCTAACTCATTCAAGATCTCAGGAACAGTGGCATTTTCACCTAAATGCAAAAGAACACCTCTGGCACTGCCTTTCAAAGATTTACGAATGGCCTCCCTGATAATAAATGGTGGATAATTACCCTCATCAATGACACAATTGACATCATAGCGCCATATCTCGAACATTGACGAGTTGTATTTCCCATCTCCTGAAAAAGAAGGTAACTCAGGGATACGGGCATGTACCAAGTCCCTATTTGTCACAAAAGACAAGTATGGTTGAGGGTTAGGCATGGGTGGAGGAATGCTATAAACAGGTGGAGGAAAGTGAACCTGATGTGTACCTGTTCTGCTGATATGTTCCCGTATAGGAGTAGGTGTAACATTAAATGTATGACTTGAGTGTACTGTATGAGGTGTACTTGCCATTGCATTAACTTGAAACTTACCAGATTTCTGTAACTGTCTAGCAAAAAATTCCAGATCTGCATCTGAATAGTCTAAGGACTGAGTTGTACCATCCGCCATGATGAGAAAACAAAAAAAAATGGATTGGACCAAAAAAAAATGAACGTGACTTAAAATTCAGGATTTCAAATGGCCCAAATTGTACACCATACACTAAAAAAAATGATTTACATCAGTAACCAGTTTAGGTCTATATAGATGTAATAAAAAACAAACAATAGAAATAAAACAATTTTATTTCAAGAGAAAAAAACACAAAGACTTGAAAATAATTAATCAACTTTATTCAAATTATGACCCACACAGTGCACCATACATTACACAAAATTTCAAGGTCACCTGAATAATATATGTACCAGATACAGTCAGTAAATTAGATCAAAGTTTGTAAAACAATAGATCTAATAACACTGATATTCAGTCTCTATTATAAAGCAGTATTAAATTCAACTGAATAATATTCAGTGCTTAACTCACTAAATAAATAACAAACACCTAAGATTGTCAAGTTACAGGTAACAAGTCTATAAAATTATATTGTGAAATGCACAGACACTTGTTCAGTTACTTGCTATAGTGTATAAATTTCAACTAATTTATGGTAATTGCAAGAGACACACAGGCTTGTGAAATTATATGCAGGAATTCTGTATTGCAAACAATGTTCAGTCCAGTACTCTATACAATATCAGAAAAAAAATCCCAAAGACCTAACTTACATGTATATAGATTATCTATAAATTTACCTGTTCAGGCACAGACTCAACTTAATACAAGTACACACAAAGCTTACCAGGATAAATAAATGTGTAAAGTTTTCTTTCTAGTACGCTTCTGCCTCTGTAAATTGTTGTTGTTCTCCTTAGATTTATTTCTCAGTGCAGGAATGACATATTTAGAACCTGTAATAGAATGAGATGTTTTATTTATTGACGTGGCATCTTGTTTGCTGTTTGATGTTCCTGCAAAAGAAGTTGACATACAATTGTTAGAATCATGTATTGTGGAAGAATTGCTTTGTGAAACATTTGATGGACTTGATGTAAGTGAGGTATTGGAATCTAACGGGGCTGTAATGGAAACATCAGAGGAGGGAATGGAGAACGAGTTCTGATCCGAATGTAAGTCAGAGGAAGCTGGCTTGTATAAGGACTCAGTTGTTTTGCACAAAGGCATCCCCATAAAGGGAAGTAAAAGGTTCCTGTGCAAAACCCTGGACCTTTCCTTGCTGTTCTCCTTCTTCACCTCATAGATGGGAATTCCAGAGGTGGGCTGGCTAAGAATGGTGTAAACATCCTTCTCCCATCTATCGGCAAGTTTGGATTTTCCCCGAACACCTACATTTCGGACCAGTACTCGATCCCCGGGCTTCAATTCGGCTTCTCTCACACGGAGGTCATAGTACCTTTTATGTTTCTTGCCTTGTTTCTTGGCCTCTCGGAGTGCAACAGAATATGCAAATTTGAGTCTGTTCTGGAGACCGGAGACGTAAGAATGGTCCTTGACAGGAGATTTGTCTGGTTCGATGCCAAGAAACGCATCGATGGCAAGCCTAGGGTGGCGACCAAACATGAGAAAGTGGGGAGAATAACCAGTAGAAGAATGGGGAGTAGAGTTATAGGCATGGACAAGAGCGGGAACATGAGACTTCCAATTGACCTTCTTGTCGTCTTCCAGGGTCCCCAACATATTCAAGAGGGTTTCGTTACTACATCTAAATATCTTTTAGTATTATCCGACTATATGGCCTTAAAAAATATATTATCAATTGAACCCAATCTGTCTCTTTTAAAACTGGTCAAATTTTACGGTATCATAAAAAAAGACAAGGGGTGACATCCGCCATTCGCCGCAACGTTTTCGGCATGAGTTTTTCCCCTTTGGCTACAATTGATTACTATTTTTTCAGAATTTTGTTCCCGTTATTTTTGTCAACTACCAGGTACCGTCCGGATATAACGTTAACGGTTTATTGTTTACACGTGTTGACATGTATAGGCGGCATTATAACGGGCACATTCGTGTTTTGATTTGTTAACATGGAGAAAACAGACACTTTAGTAATATGGTCCAACTGATTTTGCCTAACTGGAAAAAGGAATATTAAAACTTGATCCATAGATAAGTATTTTAGGCACTCATCAGGTATTCATTACTAGAAAAATTAAAACAAAAATCAAGCATATCAAGGGGGATAACTTACGCCGAACGTTGCGGTAAATGGCGGATGTCACTCCTTTTCTTTTTTCAATATACCGTATATTTGACTGATTTTTAGCTCGACTATTCGATAAGAATAAGTAGAGCTATTGCAGTCACCCGAGCGTCGGCGTCGGCGTCGGCGTAACCACTTATGTTAAAGTTTTTGTAATAGTTCAAATATTTTCAAAGTCCATTGACATATGGCTTTGAAACTTTGCACACTTGTTCACCATCATGACCCCAACCTGTAGACAGGAGGAGGTAACTCTATCAAGCATTTTGACAGAATTATGCCCCTTTTTCGACTTAGAATTTAGTTTAAAGTTTTTGTAATAGTTCAAATATTTTCAAAGTCCATTGACATATGGCTTTGAAACTTTGCACACTTGTTCACCATCATGACCCCAACCTGTAGACAGGAGGAGGTAACTCTATCAAGCATTTTGAGAGAATTATGCCCCTTTTTCGACTTAGAATTTACGTTA